CCACACAGTTTGGCATTTCCTTGATTAAGATTTAAGTGTTTGGACTTCATGGCTCTTGGCATTGCCTTCTGAGTTGTCCCTTTTCACAAAACGTAGCCTTGGTTTGCAGCTGCCTGTTTTTCTAAGCCTGCCCCTAGCTTATGGAAGCTTGATGGTATAAAGCTTCTTTTCATTCTGCGTTGATCTGTCTCAGCCCGAGCTGGTGATATTGCTGCCAACATAATTATATTAATTATGTTAGTTTCCTTTGAGTCATATTGGACTCAGTCTATAAAACAAAGCCATCCTCACACACAAATCTGTTTAAGATAAGCTTTTCTCTAACTTGGGCTTTTTCTGGCACCGCTGAGGGCCAACACCTAGAAGCACTTAGGAAACTTGTTTTAACTGTGATTGTCTGGGGCAGCACCTTGAGCATTTGGGGATCTTTACAAGATTTTATAGTCACACTGTAAATGTTTAATTTTTGTTTTTGAAACAAGGTCTCCCTCTTTAGTCTAGGCCAGCCTTGAGCTTGCTTTCTAGCCCAGGTTCTCCTGGAACTCACAGTCCTCCTGCCTCAGCCTCCTGAGTGCTGGGATTATAGGTATATGACAAAATACCTGACAGTAGATCGTGCTTTCTTGAAAATACCCTAGATTTTTGTTCTTTCCTAGAAGCCATTGTTAATTTTAACACGAAGTGCCACCTGGCTAGGCATTTTCAAAACCCCAAAGTTCTGTCTTGTTTTTATTTACTGATGCTTCCTTTAACTTCTCTCTTTTCTCTTACATTTTACTGTAAACTGCAGCAAGAAACACCTCAAAGTCTGCCTTGAAATCTCCGTAGCTAGAGCACCAGTTGAGTAGGTATATTTTCTCTTTTCTGTATTACTGAGGATGATTTTCTGCCACTGTGTAACCCTTTTCCTCGAGTGTCCAATGAAATTATTTTCACTTTCCTTTACACTTCCACACATAGCGTCAGTATCCTCCCCGAGCTGTTACATCAGAACTTAGCTCTCACGGTGCCATTATTAACAAGTGAGTCCTTTGGGAACTGATTAGGTCATGAATGAGACTAATGCTTATAAAAGAGGTGGAGGGAACCTGTTTGTCCTTTCTGCAGTGTGCAGACAGACCTAGAAGGCAGCATCTACAAGGCCCTGGCCCTCAGCAGACATGGATCTTTTGAAGCCCTGATCTAGAACTCCTCAGCCTCCAGAACCATAAGCTGTGTGTTTCTGTTGTTTATAAGTGGCCTAGTTTAAGACCTTTCATACTGACTGAGTTAGCATCCCCAAAGTCGTCATGCTTCTACAGAATTTTGGCAGTGTAGCTTTTACTAACCCCTCAAGTCCATTCAACTTCCAGCTGGATTTCAAAGCCATTTCCACATGTTAGGTTTTTGTTACAGTATCATTCCACATCCAAGTGTACCAAAATCTATGGGTTATATGTTGATACAGAACAAATCACTCCAAATTTTGTCCCCTAAGACAACAAACATTTATTATACTTTCTGTGGAGTGGTTTTGCTGCTGGTTCAGGATTAAGGTCTGTCACAAGACTGAAATAAAGGTGCTGGGCTGGAGCTGGCCAGTCTGTTCCTGATTCGCTCAGCTGGCTGTTTGTTTGCAGGAGGCCTCAGTGCTTCACACTGTTGGCCAGACCTCTCACTTTTTCCTGGGGGTGCGGTCCCCACAGGGTTGTTGGAGTGTCCTCCCTTATCTGGCAGCTGGCTATCTTCCCCTGAGATTGACCCCAAAGAGAGAGCCAGTGGGATGGGAGTCGCCATATTACCTGCCCTCAGAAGTACCCCAGCCCGACCACTGCAGTCTCTTTGTTGGAAGTAAGTGCAGCCTCTGCTCCAGGAAGAAGGCTCAACCTCTTGAAGGAAATGTGTGAAGAAATTTGCGAACATATTTGAAAACCACTGAAAAGATTTTTTTTTTCTTGAAAATCTTTTAGTGCCTTCCTGAAATATAGAATAAAACTTAAATATTTTTCTGTAAGCACAGCTTTTGCTGGCTAGTTCGTGGATGTGGGTTTTACATTTTCCCTCTGGCTCCCTGGGATTCACCCATTTCTGGCCTTACCTCATTCCTTGACAGGACCAGTCATCCCCAGAGTGCCCCCGAGCTGCTTCTACTCCCTAGAATACTTTATTTCCCCAATATTTGGCAGCCTTGCTTCTTGCTCTCAGATCACAGTTTAAATATCACTTTTTCACAGACGGAAGCTCAACCAGTGTCAGGTAGCTACCCAGACTTTCTGTCACATTGTCCTGTTTTACATTTTGCATTGCATTTTCTTTAATGTTTCTTTGTTGACCTGTTTATGTGATTATTGTATTTCCCCAACTCCATAGAATATGAATTATATGAGAACATGGGCTTTTTTGTTGTAGTTTGTTTGGTTTTTGTTTTGTTTTTTGAGACAGGGTCTCACTATGTAGTTGAGACTGACCTGGAACTCACTAGGTAGCCCAGGCTGGTCTCGAACTCAGCAATCCTCCTGCCTCAGCCTCCCGAGTGCTGGAATTACAGGTGTTCACCACCACACCTGGCTAACCTGGGCTTTTTTTTCATTGCTTTTGCATCATTAGCTAACGTTTTAGTTGGCATATGATAGCTTGCAGCAAATATATTTGTGATTATCATTACTCTGTGCTATAAACCTAATGCAGGCAGGATTTTAAGAGTCTTATTCATCTGTCTTCAGGACCTGACATCTACTAAATGCTAAAAATTTACTGTACTGTAGATCACTTTGCTAATAATGACAGAGCCAAGTTTCAAACTTAGGCTTTTCAGTTAATTCTAAAAGAAGTGCTTTGCATATACTAATTTCTAAAGGGCTAAAAGTGATTCCTTTCTTCTCTCGATTTTCTATTCTGGTGTTTGTTAATATGTCATATAAATTATTTAAAAGTTAAACTCATACCAAGCATGGTGGCACATGTCTGCAATCCTAGCACTTGGGAAGCTGAGGCAGGAGGATTGCTGTGAGTTGGAGGCCAAAATGGCCTACACAGTGAGTTCAAGGCCAGCTAGAACTACACAGTGAAGCCCTTTCTCAAAAAACAAGTTAAGTTCAACATACATTTATTAGTTGGCATTTATGTTTTTCATGTGACATTTGTCAGGTCTGACTTAAGTGAGTCCTTCATGAAGGGGACAAAGCAAACAGGCTGCTTTTATGAAACAATGGTAGCTTCTCTGTAAATAGGGCAGATGGACTCAAAAGGAACTATACAACCCCTGGTGCTGAAAAAATCCAGTAACTGTGTACACACCTGAGCGGACCATCCTTGGAAATCCAAGTCATAAATATTTCATCCCTGATTCCTTAGCCCCTTCAAAACTTACAGATATCTAATTTCTTTCCCAGTTAGTTGCTAATCTCTCTCTCCCCCAATGTCAGCCCATCCTCTCACGGATGTAAGCTCTCCCAGGTAGCTGCTATTTCTCTCCCCCGGTGTCAGCCCATCCACACATGGATGTGATAAACTTGGCTTTTTCCAGTCAGCTGCTAGAATCTCCCTGATTTTTAAATCCCTGTTAACTGGAATAAACTTTTCTTTCAGAAGCCTATTTTTGGTAAGTGGATTCTTTAGAACATTTGTGTTTGTTTGTTTGTTTGCTTTGAGACAAGGTCTTGCTGTGCAGATCAGGCTGGCTTCAAACTTGCTTTCCTTCCTCAGCCTCCTTATCTGGGAGTAGGTGTACATCAGCACATATAGCAACATTCTTTCGTAAATATTTTTATATGTCAGCATGGTTCATGTATTAGTTTTCAAGATATTTTGAAAATTTATATTTGTGTCAGTGCACTTGATCTTAGCCAGAAGGCCAAAAAGCGATTATATATCTGTGTCAATGAACTGAGCTTGTCATCTTTCGTATTTCAGGACTTGGAACCAAATGCTAAAACTCTTGGTATTTCATTTACTTTAAGGTTCATACAAGAAAACCCAGAGCAGTAGAAAACATAGATTTTAGTAGTCATTCTAAAGTATCTAGTTAACTCATTTAAGGCACAAGTACTATTTTGGTATAACCCCCTCACCGTGGTAGCGGAAGAAGATGCTATCTCTGCTCTCCCCATCCTTTAAAAAACTAGACCCAGCCTACTTTAGTTTTCTGTGGCTTCTGTGAATGTAATGGTCTATCCTCTCCTACTTTTCTAGTGTCTTTAAGATTTGTTAGAAGATCTGGAGAGCATTGTATGCCCCAAGTAACTGCTCTCAAGTGAACCTGGAATTGTGATTAATGAAAGTATTTTTTTAAAATAGAAAAACATTGGAAGTATTGTTCTTTCATCTTTTTTGTTTGTTTTTTGAATTTATTCGTACATTTTAGGTATACAATACAGTTATATTCATTATTGGGATCTTGTACCTTTACATGACAGGTCTTGGTTCTCATTTTTTCCCCTTGTCCCTGCCCTCCCTTCACCCCCTCCTCCTCTCCCCATTTACAAACACTTTATTTCCATTTTTTCACTTTCTCATATTTTTTTCTTTTCCCTTATTACCTTTCCCCTACCCTTCCCTCTTTCCCTACACCTTTAGCCCTTTTCTTCCTATTTCACATTGTCAATTATCTCATTAGGATCTTATGTACTATTATAGTTTTTCATACCAGAGAAACTATTTGGTATTTACACATGTGTGACTTATTTATTTCACTTAGGAGCATATCCTCAGTATGTATCCATTTTCCTATGAATGAATTTAACTTCTCATTCTTTATGGCTGAGTAGTATTCCATTTTAAAGAAAAACCACATCTTCTTTATCCAGTTTCCAACTGATGGTGGAAGCATTGTTCTTAGGGACGATATAAAATACTTGGTTGTCTGTGGGTTGAAACATCTAAAACTATTGATTTAGTCTCCTAAGCTAGTCCAATATGCTGGGCTTTGTTTTTGTTTTTGGGGGCTTTGTGATGAAGCTTTTTTTTTTTTTTTTAGCACTGAGATAAAATTTCAGCAAGTTACTTTTATCTTTTATTTCTAGATCACCACACTTATTAATCATAAAGATAATACCAAAAAGTCGGATAAAACTCTGCAAGCAATTCAGCGTGTGGGGCAAGCTGTCAACCTGGCAGTTGGAAGATTTGTTAAAGTAGGGGAAGCTATTGCTGATGAAAACTGGGATTTGAAAGACGAAATAAATATTGCCTGTATTGAAGCTAAACAAGCAGGTACGTGGACATTGATTTTGAAGACTGTTTATACCAATTTCATTGCTTTGGAGATGATGTAAAATTACTGCTTTGAGCAAAAATGTGTACTGTGCTGTAGGCTTTGATGACGGGTGCCCAGAGCCGGGTGGGGACTGGAGAGCAGCATAGTATGAACCAGTGCACCTTAGCAAATCACTGTGACTTCAACTTCGTGCTGCTCTCGGTAGTGGATGGCACAAAGCATTCCAGAACCTGTGGTGTTTTGAGGGCTATAAATAGGTCAGTTGAAGTATTTTATCCATTCTCTCATTTGATATTTACTCAGCCCTGCCAATATACCAGGCATTCTCCTAGGTTGTCTGGCTATAACTATGTGCGAATCAATCAAAAGCCTGCCCTCATGGGGTTTGAATTCTAATGAGGGAAACAGACCATAGATGAGATGATTGTTATGATGAAGAAAAAACAAACAAACAAAAAAACAGGGTAAGTGTGAGAAGACCAACAGTGCTGCTGTTTTTCAGTTTCAACCCTGCTGCCGTTTTGCCCTGGACAATTCTTTGTTGTGACAGAGCCTCATTTATATTTTAAAAAGACAACTGGTGATTCTTTTACAGAAAACTTGATTTTAGGGAATACGAGAGTGGGATCAGAGAATCCACTTAGGAGGAGGCTGCTGCCATAGACAGTGGTGACCTAGGTTAGGGGTGGCGTTGAAGATGGTGCGAGGCAGCTGCATTTGGAGGTGTTGTCGAGATGGAGCTGACAGGTTGTGTGGCCTGACACAAAGAGGAGTCATGGGTCATCCCAAGTTGGGGGGATGAATAGCTGGGGGGTGGTGCCACTTCCTGAGAAGAGCAACCACGATGGAGGAACAGGTGTTTGGGGAGGATATTCGGGGGAAAGGAAGTAAGTGTGATAAGGTGGAGTAATATGAGGGACCAGCCAGATCATATTCAATCCTGTGTGTTATATGAATGGCTTCAGATATTATTATTATTATTATTATTA